TTGATAACAAACACACATTTGACCATTTTATGGATGCATCTATTAAAATTATAAAATATCTGAATGGTCTACATGGTGAATGGATAGGTCCACATATATCTCCTTGGATACGTTCAAAAAAAGCAGGAGATTCAATTCTCACTTTCGCAATTGAAGGTCTTTTAATTAATTTTTCTTGAGAATAAGCAGCATATGAAAAATTCTTAAATTGAAGAATCATCTGTTTCTTCAATGGATGTTCATGTGAATTTTTAATAATTCTTGCATCATAGTAGAACCGAAATGGCCTAACCGGTCATGCCAAACGATAAATGTATCTTGCTTGGTAAACTTCTTGTTGACTATTGCATTTATTTCAACTGTACTAATAGTTGTGTAGTACAAACTAAAAGATAACGTGGATAATTTTTCTAGGACACATTTCTTTCTAGATCTAAAATATATAATATGTAGATATTCAATATCTTTCTCATTTGTAGTCTCAATATGATATCCATTTTAGCAGATATCTTTAAAGCTTAATAAATTTCTTTAAGTCTTGGATGAATATAATGCATCATCTATAATAATTTTTGTTCTTTGGGTAATATTATAATTACTCTTTCAGAGCCATCAATTAATTTAGTATTACCCGCTATTGTATTAATGCTTCCATCTCTTATTGTTAAACAAGTAAAATATTTTTTATCTTTAAGTATGGTGTGCATTATAGCACTATCCACGAGACATATATCTTCATTCTTATGTCTAGTAAAAGAAAAGGAAATATCCTTATTCTTCAACAAAAGAAAGAGAATTTATTAAAATAAATACTTAATAAAATGAAATTTATTCATAGCAATAATGCTTTTATTACAAGAAAACAAGAAAGCTAAATGAAACATAACCTAAATTACAAGAAAACAAGAAACATAAATAAAACATAATTTAAATTATTCTAATTATTTTTCAACCAAACTTGTCTAATCTTGATTTTCAAAGAAATTAGCCACCTCCAAGTATGCCATAGCATCAAGGCCATTAATATCATCTAACTCATTGATATCATCATTTTTGTATGCAAAATGTGCCTCAACATCATCATTTTGAAAAGTGAAATTTGATTCTATATTATTTGAATTTCTTTTGATGGAGGCTTGATAAAGCTTTGCTAGATGCTCAGGTGTACGACAGGTACGTGACCAATGCCCCTTCATACCACACAGATAACACTAATTTTCAACAGCTTTTGAAGGGCTGCTCTTATCTTTTTTGCCCTTCATCATTTTTCTTCTTTTAGTAGGTATTAGGATTATAACTAGTACCACCACCACTATTATAATGGTAATTAGCACGTCCCCTGCCACGACCACGTCCACAACCATGACTACAACCACGGTAATTACTACGTATAGTCACATTCGCTTTAGGGAATGGAGCTGATCCAGTGGGACGGATTTCATAATTTTTCATCAGCAGCTCATTATTTATTCAGCCACAAGAAGACAAGAAATTAATTCAGAATACTTTTTAAAACCTTTTTCACAATATTGCTGCTACAGGAGTATATTTGAAGCGTGAAAAGTTAAAAATGTCTTCTCTAATAAGTCCTCGTCATTAATTTTCTCATCGCATAATTTCAATTGAGAACTTATTTTAAAAACTACTAAATTATATTCACTTATAGTTTTAAAATCTAGGAACCTCAAATGTATCCATTCATATCAGACTTTAGGTAAAATTATTGTTTTCTGGTGGTCATATCTTTCTTTTAGGTTAATCCACAATTCTAGTGGATCTTTTACTGTAAGGTACTCAGCTTTTAACCTTTCATGAAAAAGATGATGAAGGAATATCATTGCCTTGGTCTTATCTTGACTACTTGCTTGATTTTCAGGTAACATTGCATTTCCTAGACCTTTGGCATCTAGGTGAATTTCAACATCTAGCACCCATGATAGATAATTCTTTCCTGTAATATCAAGAGCCATAAATTCGAGTTTGGTAAGATTTTCCATGATTCAAACTAAAATAATAATAACAATTAGAATTATACAAAATTAATAAATAAAGCATAATAAATAAATATTATAGTAAAAAAATATATTTCACTCACACATGCTAAAATATAATTTATAATAAAACACAATAGAAAGAGGCACAATATAAAGAAACACAAATGTAAATAACCAAACTTACATAATAAATAAAGCATAATAAATATAAAGAAATGCAGTAAAACAAATAAATTAATGGATAAAATGAATAATTTATATGATAAAATAAATTATATTAACAACATAAGTTGATCAATACACACACATAAACAAATACAAAATGTATAATAATATGTATATATAGTATTAATTTAATGAAAGACCAAAATAATAATAATAATAATAATAATAATAATAATAATAAATAAAGAAATGAATAACAACAACAACAACAACAACAACAATAATAATCATGATGATGACATCAAATACATAAATAAAGAAAGAAAAATAAGTATATCAATCTCCATAAAAAATATATAACAACAAATAATAAAGCAATGGGTGTCAAATGAGACTTGATTAAATTAAATCACTAATCACATGATTATTTTCAAATGAATAAAATGGATAAATTTAAAATTACTTCATAACTAAGAAAATGAAATGATAAGAAAATAAAACAATAAAATATAAGAACAATATAACCATGAGTGTTAATAAAACAATAATATAAAATATAGTCATATATATAATATAAGAACACATTAATCTAACTAAAAGCTCATACCTTTTTTAGAGCCAATTTGTGTTGATAACGTGTTGTAAAATATAGTTAATATGAAGAGTAGAGAAGGATAAGACAATACAAGAAATGGAGAGAAAACAATAGAGGAGAATTCTTATTTATTGGTGTACATATGCTTTGGATATGACCTCTGTTTATAGGCCTCTAATCATTCAAGTCCTACCCTAATGTTACAAATATATAATGAGGTACATAATGGTGCATTATATAACCTTTGAAGGTTATAAGCTATTAAGACTAAGAAACTTTTTCATGCCATTCATGAGGACATTAAAGATAAAAGAATCCTAAGGGTTATGAGTTTTGAAAATTCGTAACATAATATTTATAATAAAGACCTAAATTTACGGACAAAATAATATAAAAACTGGGACACATAATGTGGGACAAATAAAGGAATGGATTTGGACTGCCTTCCAATTAATAATGGAGTTGTTCTTTCTTGAAATTTTTTTCTTTCTCTAATGTCATTACTACTTTACCTAAATCATTGATTGCCCTTTTCTCTTTCTAAAAAATTATTTCAAAATATGCACTTTACAGTTTCTATTTGTATAAGTAATAATTTCTTGTTAAAAGAAATTTACATATATATAAGAGTTAATGACAAGCTGTCCTAGTGGCAACGTCATTTTTCCGTCCTCGTTTAATTAAAAGAGGTCCTAGATTTGAATATAGAGTTGACATGCATAGTATGTTTCCCTTTTCTATAAAAGAGAATTGATTAGGGGAATTTTTTTAATAAAAATAAGATTTAGATATCAATTATTTTTTCCAGAAAATTATATTTGATTATACTTCATCTTTATATATAGGATGAGCATCCTTTTCAACCGATTGCTAAATATTAAGAAAATCATCTTATTTAGTTATTTATAATAAAAATATCAATAATATATGTTATTTTTTCCCAATTACCCTGTAACAATTAATGAGACCTAGTATCTTAACATTGAAATATAATATAATAATTCTAACAAGTCACACTATATATGAAATATGTATAAGGTGATTTATTTTGTATGCTTCATCCAGCACATATGAGATTCCCATTGCTAGTTTTCCTTTTATTAAAAGAAGGCAATTTACACAAAGGATAAAATATTAGATTCTTCAAGTAAATAAACTATAGATTCTTCAAATTACAATATTAATTATATTTTCATTCTGAAACATATGTAATAACATATTTTCTTATTATTAGTATATATAAATTAAATGCATTACTCATATAAGTCATGAACAATGCATCTCGTTTTTTAAATTTTAAATTTGATTGTTAGAATATGTATAACGAATGTTGGCAAAAAAGAATGTTGAATACCAAATATTTATATATCAAATTTTAAATGATAATTTGAATGTTAGAATATGTATAAATTAAATAAGATGAAGTCTCTTTCTGCCTTTAGACTGAAGCCCCTCCCTTGAGACAAGTCATGAACCTTTTGGTCATGATAAGGTCATTTGTGAAATTGATTAGTAAACTCTTGTCCACTTGCATTTCTCTTAATCAGCCACATTTATACAATTCAAAGTGCAGAATTATTAACTATGATTGTGTAACAGCTCTTTTCTCAAAGGTTTGGGTTCTCTCTTTGCCCTACTCCTCCATGAGGTAACCTTACAGCTGATTATCTTGCAGCTGTTGCCTTTAAGGAAGTGAGCTAGCCCGATATGGTGGGTGTTTAAAGCAACACTTTCTTTGGCTACTATTCTGACCTCTAATGCGGAAGAAGATATATTGCATGTCTCATCAAACAGTACAATTTCCAACGTTGTAATTGGTGTTGGTTAACTTTATAGGCTTTCTGTCATCTTCTTTATGTTTGGTAGTTTCATCTGTTTTGCAATGTTTATGGAGGTTATTCCTTAATGAGAAGGAGTTCCTTTTGATTAAAAAAAAATTATGTCCGTTAATGTTCAACTCTACGAATGTTTAATGAAGAGATAACATTACTCCATTTTAAAAAAAGCCACACCTACATTTTTAATGTGACCGGCGCAGCTGAAAAAAATAGTAAATTAAATTTTCACCTAATTCTTGTATGAAACCAATCCAAATATAAGTAAAATTAGGGGCCAGAAATCAATTGGGTGAAGAAACATGATTTTATTTTATTTTTCCAAACTAAGCAAAGCAATTAAGGTAAAAGCACTTTCATAGAGAGAAAGACCCGGAAAGAACAACACCCCTAAGAATTTAAATTAAATTCTTAAAGTAAAAGCTTGATAATAGCAACAGCAACGACCGCAAGATCCCGGAAAGCTTGGTTTTCTCTTGTAAGCAATGATGTGGTGCCAGAAAACTCGCTCTCACAAGCAAAGGCTTCATTTGCTGCACCTTGCATGGCTTCTTCTGCAAATTTGGGGTTTCCATTCAGAGCTCCAATAGCTTGTGGAACATCCCATTTAATCACTGCCTCGTACCTCTCAGAACAGGATTTAAGTGCCTTCTCTTGCTTTGGTTCTAAATCTCCTCCACCAAGCAGCTGCTTGATTTTATCACTCGTACCGTTTGCTTTCGCCTCTGTCACTTTCACCATAATCACAGCTAGCCCTGTAAATAATCACCATTTCAATTACATACACATCGCTGACTACTGATTCAGTGATTAATGTAAAGAGATGAATCCATATATAGGATGATTGATGGTGTTTGTGAGTTTGTTACCCGTGACGTCTGCGTCGGAGCTGGAGGGATCGGATTTCAGGGATTGAACGCAGAGATCGTAATGTGGGGTTTGCTTGCAGGTTTTCTCTATCACGTTCTTACAGTGGCTTGGTGATATTAGGGAGATTATGGCGATGATAAAGATGATTGTTAGTATTTGAGATTTGAGGTTCTTCATGTTTGTTTCAGACAAAAAGAAGATGAAGAATGACGAGGGAAGTGATCGGTATGGCAATTGTGTTGAATTTCTCAAAATTGAATGGTGATTGGCCTTTTCTAGTTTGAACCATAGAGGAGGAAGCAGACAAATACAATAATGAATTTGGATATTCTAATTAACAATAATTGATATTTATTGCTTGAAATTTTAATGTTCTTAAATGTCATTATTGCCTCTCCCAATCATTAAATATCATTTTCTCTTTCTTCAAAACTTATACCTCTATCACAATTTATAAGGTACTTCTTTTTATAAAACCAGTTGTTCAGACTAGTTTGAATAAAGCTAAAAAAATTTGTTATCAAGCTTCAAGAAATAACATTATTTTATGTTTGAACTTATTCAAGCCAACCCAAATACTCAAATAACAATTGAAGTTGAAGTTATTAATACATAGAAAAAATTAATCATTTAATCTTTATAGTTTTGACCCAATTGTAACTCAATATTTAAACTTTAACTCATTATAATTTAATCCTTATAGTTTTAACCTAGTTATAACTTAATTCTTGAAGTTTAACTCTTACAACTCAGTTCCTATAATTTTAAACTATTTAAATATTTGTCCTTATATTTTAAAAAAATAAAATTATAAAGATTAAAAATATTTTAATATTTATAATATTTATAAAGATTACAAGGGTTTATTAATTAAAAATATTAGTAATAAATTTTAACCTAATTTTAATCATTATTATTTTAATTTTTAAGATATAAGGACCAATATTTAAATGATTAAAAATATAAGAATTAAGTTGCAAAAATTAAAGATTAGGAACTAAGTTATAATTAAGTCAAAACTTAAGAGATTGAGTTATAACAAGTTAAAATTTAAGAATTGAGTTACAATTGAGTCAAAATTATAAGGATTAAATGATTAATTTTTTCTAACACACACACATGTCTTATTAAATATTGATTGATCCTTTAACTATTAATTCATTTTATAGTAAGAGACCATATATTTGAATACGTTTTTATAGTTATTTTCTTAAAAAAAATATTGGTACTATTATATTTTTATTATTTTTAATCTATAAAATATGTTAAAATAATTTTTAAAATGTGTTTTAATCTTGATTTTGAAACTTTAACACTCAAATTTTTTTTTAAATTTGAGTCATCTATTCCAAAAAATATATTTTATATTTTATACAATAACAACAACAACAAGCCTTTATCCCACTAGGTGGGGTCGGCTACATGGATTGCAAGACGCCATTGTGCTCTATCATTTATCAAGCTTTTAGGAATATTATTAATTAAGATATCGCGTTCAATAACTTTCAAGAGTGTTCTCTTAGGCCTTCCTCTACCTCTCTTAATCGGACTCAAAGTTATATGTTCCACTCTTCTCACTGGTGCCTCCCTTGATCTTCTTTGTACATGCCCAAACCATCTTAACCGATTTTCTACCATTTTTTTTCTCAATAGGTGCCACCCTCACTTTTTCGCGTACGTGCTCATTTTGAATTTTATCTTTACGTGTATGTCCGCACATCCATCGTAACATTCTCATCTCTGCTACTCCAATTTTATGCTCTTGCTGTCCCGTTAGAGCCCAGCATTCATTACTATATAACATTGCCGGTCTGATAGCAGTGCGATAAAACTTTCCTTTAAGTTATAGCATTCACTACTATATTTTATATTTTATATAATAATAAAAATAATTAATTTTAAACCAAAATTGAGTTTTTTTAAAAATAATATTTTTTTCATGATTTGAGCCGGCCTAAACAAGTCCGCTAACGTGTGGGCCGCTAGACTTAGTTACAAGTTTAGATATTTTATAAGTTATATGGGCCTAAATAATCCTATCCTGCTTCGATTAATATCTCCTTCTTTAATGAGAGGGAGAAAAAATTATTTAAAGAAATTAAATGATGAGGGGTAATGTTAAAATAATTTTCATTAATAAAATTTTATTTTTACTAGAATGTCTTATATTTTAAAATAACATATCAACTTTACAATTTCTTATCAATTAGAACGAAGGGATTATTTTGAACACTATCTATCGGTTGTATACGAACTATTTTAAAAGAATTAAATTATTTGATATTTTTTTATAGCACAAATAGGTTTTGTCGATAACAGAAATTATTATCCACGAGGTACTGAGAACAGAGAGTATATAACTCTTCTGATAATGTTGATACATACATAAATGATAAGGTTTAAACCCCCAATCATTTATGACGGGTGCTCTTGCTACCATAATTATCAACCTAGTTGATGGATACAACCTAGTTAACATTAATATATCTATATCACCTTCTATTGATATTTGTGATTTTTCACTTTCTTTTCAATTCTATATTTAAAACATGGTTTGAGTTCATGGTTTATGGTATTACCCAACATGATAAAATTGAATAGGAGGAGTAATACAACGGTGCTATAAGTGTTGGAATAATTAGTATACACTAGCACATTTTAATATTGTAGTATTAAAATGGCTTATGGAAAGTAACTTTCCATAATTAAGGGTAATTAAGGGTAAATTAAAATATTTCACAAAAAAGGTACCTTATAATTTACCTCTTACAATAAAGGTGTTAAACATTTTTTTATGTATAAAGGTGTTAAACATTAATGTATTCATTATACTAAAATTGGAAATTATAAATTTTAATTAAAATTTGTCCGAACATACCATAATTACTACTTATATAAACTCATATTCCATTTGGTATAGAGGTGTGTTTTTAGTAGAAGTAAAAGTGGAAGTAAAAAAAATGAAGTTTAAAAGTAAGTTTGGTATAGAAATGGAATTGAGATTAAAAAATATAGTTATATTTTTAAAAAGACCAAAATAACCACAAAATTAAAAACAAAAAAGTCCATCGCCTTTATCATTCGCCAGCAACCATCTACCATGCATCTTCAATTGACCACCATTGTTGCGAGGAATTGTCCAAGAATCAAATCCAAACAAGAAATCCAACAAGAAGATCGATGAAGCAGATTTATGAACCAAATCAAGAAAGCTCCATCATCGTCACTGAAGATCAAATATCACCGTCGTCGCTGAAGAAGCCCTCTGTCGCTGCCTCACCAGTTATCACCATTGTTTTCGAAGAAGCAAATCCCATAAGCTGGGAGGAAGAGCACCAGTGAGATGGTTCATGATGGACGAGGCTGCAATAGAGAGAGATTTCCAAGGGGAGGGAGTGGTTGATATGGAGTTATTGTAGAGGATGAAGTTAGCCAATATAATGGAACTGGAGAGGTCAAGCTCGGTGAAGGAGGTGTTCACAGGTGATGCCGGATCATCGTTGTCGTTCTAGGAGAAGAGGGAGGAGTCTGGGTCATTCATCAGAGCTGCAAAATGGCAGGAGAGAGATTGAGGGTAAAGATAGTAAAATGAGAGAGGAAGTGAGGAAGGAAGTCCATTTTCAAAAGAACCTAGTTCATGCAAACCAAACGCATAAATTCATAGGTTCTAATTCCACTTCCACTTACTCTTCCTTCAATCCCTTATATTACCAAACAAGGAAATCGTGTTTTTATGCATTACTCATTAATCAATAAATGAAAGTAAATAAATAAAGAAGTGAGGCACCTTTTTTGGCCAAAAAGAAGCGAGGCACATTACTATCTAATATAAAAGTACAAATTTCAGGATTTTAATTTCAGTTCTATATATCTATATATCGTAAGGGGGATTTGTGCTAGTTCATTTAATATCTTAACAAGTTTATTTTATATTGTAAATGATTCCCACATATGTTTTCAAGCCACTCATTTTTCAACTCACTTATGCATATTCAATTTTTTATGTCATTAATTTTTAAAATTTTTTTTTCTGCCTACTAATGTTTAAATAAAGGGGAAGTTTAACCCAAGGACTACATTGTTCCGATTCTAGAACTTCAACGACAGCATTGCAATACATTAAAAGTTAAAGTAGTTGGTATATGCGGCTGAAAAAATTCTTCAAAAATAAATTGGAAACTTATCCCTATATAAAACCAATACTAATAATAGAGGATATTAGAGGGCCCAAAAATCAAATGGAGAAGGTATAGGATTTTATTTTTCAAACTAAGCAATTAAGGTAAAAGCACTTTTAACGAGGAACATATCATCATCAAGCATTTAAATTCTTAGAGCAATAGACTAATAATAGCAACAGAAACTAACGCAAGATCCTGCAAAGCATTGTTTTCCATTGTAAGTAGTGGTACGGTGCCAGAAAACTCACTCTCACAAATATTGACTTCATTTCCCGAATATGTCATGGCTTCTTCTGCGAATTTGGGTTCTCTGTTCAGAGCTCTAATAGCTGCTGGAACTTCCTTCTCCTACACTACCTTGTACCTCTCAGAACAAATTTAAGTGCCTTCTCTTGCTTTGGTTCTAAATGTCCCCCTCCAAAGAGCTGCCTGATTTTGTCACTCGTAGACTTTTCTTTCCCCTGCCTGACTTTCACCATAATCACAGCTAGCTTTGTGAATAATCACCATTTCAATTATATTGAATCAGTTATGTAAAGAGATGAATCCACATATAGGATAATTGATTGGTGTTTGTGAGCTTGTTCCCCGTGACGCCAACGTCGGAGCTGGCGGGATCGGATTCGAGGGACTGAAGGCAGAGATCATAATGAGAGGTTTGCTTGTAAGTTTTCTCTATCAGATGCTTGCAATGGCTAAGTGATATTGTGGAGATTGTGGCGATAACAAAGATGATTATTAGTGTTTGAGATTTCATCAGGTTCTTCGTATTTGTTTCATATTAAAAGAAGATGAAGAATTACGAGGAAAATGATCGGTTTGGCAATTGTGTTGCATTTCCCTAATTGAATATGGTGGTAGGCATTTTTAGGTTTGAACCATAGGTGAAGCAGACAAATACAATAATAATGGATTTGGATCTTCTAATTAATAATAGTGGATATTTCTCTCTCGAAATTAATTTTAATATTCTTAAATGTCATTGTTACTTCCCCA